GGCCGCCCGGGACAGTCCCTAGGTAGCACCTCGCATGCATGCCAATGCTCGCTTCCCTCGCCAGAGACCTTCTTCCCCCTCTCGGGCATACGCAACTGACAGGGACCCTGTGGCGATGTTGTGCAAGTGCGTGCGCTCACACGACCCGGGTGCTGGATCTCACCGCAAATCCTCGGCAATCTGCATACTCTCATGCTAAGTAGGCAGACTAACTTGCCAGGCGATGATACCCGGGGCCGTGGGAACTAGGGGATTCCGGCTTGGGGCCGTTACACGGCTCATCTGATGTCACTACGGTTCTCATCACGAGCTGGGCGAGACATCCGATACCGAATCGGAGAGGCCAGATGATGCCTCCCTTGGCAGGGCTACCGTGGCGGTAAGAGCTGGGTTTATTGTATTCGTATTGCAGCTTTAGAGAGGTCGAGAGAGGTATGATCGTGACAGAAGCAAAGCCACGGCGCTGAATCGCCTTATCGCCACGAGCAGAATAGCATAGTGATGAACAAGGGCTAAGATTTAATGTCGAACTCATGCGTCAGGACCTGTTCCTCATTTTTAATATCACGGCCAACGTATACGTATTCGCAGATGTCTGTTTTTGCACAATGATATAAGTGTAGTTACTTCTATTAACTAATTTACATACAAAATACTTCCCTTGTCTAATACGACTGTAGAAGGCGGAGGTCCCAGATAAAGGTTGTAATACCATGTTTACTTATTAGTAAATCTACTTCAACTTCACAGAGAATAGAGACGGTAAGGTTTATCAGTGACTTGGTCTACTCGTCACAGGGTGATAATAAGACTTTTAATGAGGTGACTTGCTTCGGGCACACTGCACTACGCCGCTGTTACTTGAATATAAAACCAAGCATTCACCAAGGTATAAGATAGTGTGATCATGGTCAATGAAAGTAAGCGGGAAATAGCGCTGAACCTACCTATTGGGGCTGATGAGTATTAGTTCAAGGTGATCTAGGATGAGCGATGACTTCGAGTAAGTCCTCTGGCAAGCTAGTTGAAGCGGAAGAAGATAGCAGGATCTAGCTAGGGACCTAGTAGAGTTCGAGGAACGCGTCAAGAATTCAAAGATAGCTAAAATCAAGCCTATAATAGTCTCGGGCGTCGGGACCATTCGCTCAAAGCAGGTTATGTCGTTACATAATAAGATCGAGTTGTTATTAAGCGAAGTCGATGAATTCCAAGGAGACTTTAATATCCATGATACAGTTAAGGAATGTCTAAATACCATAAATAAGTAGAAGTCAATAGTCAATAAATCGAATGTAACCAACTAAGATTTAAACAAGGACCTCGAACGTTCCAAGTATTCCGCTAACGAGGCGATATTTCAGCGAGCCGTGAGATTGTCCATCCTCCACCACCTCTAGATCAACAATATATCCGATTCCAATCGTGAGTGCTAGTGATCGCTGCGAAGAAATTGATACGCGCTGCCATCAGCAGAATAGCACAGCATCTCAGCGGGCTCACAAGCCTTCCGCTAAGGCGGCTGCTTTGATTACCTGCCGGTCTACACTTCTCCTATTCGCTTTCATGTTAGATTGCCGCTCTGATGTAGCTAGGGATTCTGTTGAATAGGAAGTAAAACGAGTCATGTTGCGGCTACTGAGTCTTCTCAAAATTGATAATAAGGGGCCAATATTGGCTACTGAATAACCGCGCACTAGGAAGATACGCTGTAGGAAACCTATGCAGTATAATGTAGGGTATATAATAGAAAGATAAAGGCTTGTTATCGACCTAGACATCGCGCTGCGGTATACATCTCCTGCGTGGAATACCTCGTACAGAAATAACTACAGCAAGGATATTCTGAATAATTTTCAACTTTTTAAAAAGTTAGTACTAACCCTGGGCAAAAAGGGGCTTGATAGATCGGCTTCGAATGCTAGCCCCGGGAAGGTCATCCTTGGATCCGACACTGTTTTTATAGTCCTCGAGGACGTTTATGATGTAGAATATGAATGCTCTAGCGAAGGGACAATAGAAGAAACCCCTAGCTAGGAAGCAGCAGAAGCCTCTAGCTCGGAGAAAGAAGTGGTTGAATCATCCATGCCCCATGAAGAAGACCTGCCACCTGAACACTACGACTACACAACTGATCGCAGGTGTTGTATACTGTGAAGGCTTTGTGCCGTAGCGGGGGGAACCTCTGAGCTGGTCCATTCTAGCTTAAAAGCTCGCGAAACATTCGAATATACTATACAACAAGAAAGACCGTAAAAGGGAAAACCTGAGCCTGTGAACGTGAGCTCGAAGCTCACCTGCGATGTAATTCGTAGATAGGGACGACTATGTAGCTGCGAAGGAGTACAAGTGAGGACTCTAGCTTACAAAAAGGGGACTGCTTCAGGCGAACAAGCCTTCACAGTTGCGCAAGTGAGCGCTCCAGGGACCTTATGCAGCTCGTTTCGCGTAGGGCTCGTTAGAATAACATGAGGAAGTGAGCGCTTCCAGCCTACTTTTTGCTTTTAGCAACTAAGGCTCTAAGAAAGAACACGTTACGCAGCGCACACGGCTCGTTAGGATAGCATGAGCGAGCGGGCGCCTATATTACTAATTACTTCATGAAAAGAGCAACTCAGGCGTCTGCTTGTTATGTGTCAAGGAAAACGAAGCGATTAATCTATGATTGAATTAATTGTACATATAGGGGTCTATGCGACAATAGGATGACCCAAGTGAGCGCCCTAGTCTACTTGAATGAACTGCTTTAAGCAAGACTCCGAGAGAACGAGGGAGCGCATTAAAGCTTCGCGTACGACTTGGTAGAGCAATTGGAGCGAAGCCATTACGAAATAGCACATTTTGAGCTTAATAACAACCACTCACAAGCACTCGGATTCTATAAGTAGTCACTAAGAAAAACGATCTGCTTACTTAGATAAGGGGGTGGCTTAATGTGGCTGGTGTTGTGGCTGGAACGACCTCGCAGCTTCAATCCCTTATACCCACACACAACTACACCTAAAACAGAGCCGTATAGACGATAATATTTGACTAGATCTCCAGAGTGTTTCCTCCTCTTTGCTGCAGACACAAGAACGGTTAGCTAAGCGCTGACAGGTATCACTTCTTACAAATCTGGAGCTACTCAAAAAATATCTATCGACACCAACTCACGCTGGGTAGCGTTGAAGAAGCTTCTATACTTAGGCGCCGTCGTTTGTCAAGAGCTATGACTATTATCATATGGCTATGTCGGCCGGACATCTCGCATTCCAACCCACAAGGACTTATTTTATCGTGGGGTATGTGCTTCTAAAGGTAGTGAAGATTTGGCCAAGGTCGAGCGCGTGATTCCGGGATGTTATGCCATTGTATTGAGAAGGAAACCTCAAGAACGTTGTCAATATGTGAGTCAACTGGACATGTGTCCATTGTTTCCTTTCTGTGGTGGCTTTAACAAAGTCTTGATATCAGAATAACCAGCTTCGGTTCAATCGCTCTAGCGCCAACTATCCACTACCTGCCGGCCCCAGCGTACAAGATCTCTAAAGCAGCTTTGCACGCTCTCACTGTTTAGTACGCACTCGACTATGCGGACGAGGGTTTTTTTTTATAGCGCTCTGCCCTGGTGTAAGTTTTGTTTTTGTTTATTGTTTTTGTTCTATTAGTAATAGTTAGCTAGCACAGATCATTTTTTTAGTAGTTGAAAACGGAGCTCAGTAATAACGACTTAGCCGATCTGACAGCGAAAAAAAGAAGCACGGCTTCTTTAAACATCGTTTTCAAGCCGAACTCTAAAACTAACAGCAAAACGCCCAAAATACTTGTAAAAAGGTAAAAAACCACGAGCTATCGCTACAATAAAACTAGTATCTCTTAATAAATAAGCTTAGTTTTTTCTGGTTAAATGCTATTACGCCAATGTTAAGTCGGACCTTCGGTTACTGTTATAAGAATAAATGTCAAAAACATTAAGCAGTAATTCCCTGTAACAAATTGGATATGTAATGTACTAAATAAGTTGTCATTAGGCTTGCATCTATAGAAAACTGGGAAGGAAATATACAATTTCTCACAATATCTTTACGTAGTGAATTTAAACACCGCATGGGGTCAGTTATAAAAAGCCAAACAGGAATTCATTTAACGTCTATATATTAGTAAGTAATCTAGGTATAATTAAAGCCGGCATTTTTTTTCGCGTCAGTAAGTCCGCATAAGAAAAACTAACAATCTACTTACCATTTATCCCCAAGGTTTATTAAAACATACTAAAAAACGATATATCAGCTCTTGTATGTTGTATTATATAATATATAAAAAGAATGCAAGAATCACACTCGATTAGTAGAACTCACTTGAACACATTGGTTCCTGAAAGTGGATCTTATCATAATATCTAGTAGCTTTCTGTCCTACTTGAACACACAGTAAATAGAGATCCTAAGTGAAGCAATAAAGAAAGGGGTAGTATAGTAAAAAAAAAAGAGAAAAATAGTATTTAACGCCTAGGGCACTAGTGCCAGACCTCCGTAAGAGTACTGTAGGCGTAACAAGCTGTTTTATATATTATATACATTTTTAGCAGCTGTATATTATATATAAGCTTTAGAAACCAAATTTTCACTTTAAGAGCAGTTAAGTCGTGATTCCATGTCCACTTTTGAACTTCCGTATTTTGTACGTTCGGGGCACGCTAGCTAGCGTGCAAACATAGTTCGGGTGAAAAAGCGCGTAAGCAGGTAGAAGATAATGCGTCTTATCGAGGCCAAGGACGCAGAAGTAAACGCCAAAGTGGGTAGCAGGCGTATTATGTATGCGCAGGCAAGGCGCTTGGATTGGGTTGGGTGCGCTGTAGCTAGTGCGAATGTGGCACAGTTGCGCAGTTCGATTCGGGGTAGAGATGTTTCGGTTACTCTGTAGGGGCTAGCTCGTCGCTCACCATATAGGACGATTAGGTGTTAACGGCTTAGCTATTTGGTTGCAGTTTATCCACTTGCCCAGGTGGTAGAAAAAATAACTGCCAACAGTCGGAATCGAACCGACCCCTCTTCGGCTTGTCGGATGGCAGCCAACCCCACCAAAGTATGCACCATTACACCATGTGGGTCATGTTTTGTTAATAGTTGATAGAGACGGTTATAGGATAAGTTCTTACGCTGTTGGCGAGATGGAAGCCTGTGTGAAAGGGGCACATAGAATAGACAAATTTCCATGAGCGGAATCTATTACGAAGATACTAAACTCAATGTTACTGCCATTAAAAAACCTTTACACCGTAATATACGATTAGGGAAAAGAGTAATACTTCAGTCCGTCTACTGAGTCTTCACATGGAAACTCGAAACGAGCTCGAATCTTGGAGAATAGCACGGGATAGGAATAAATATTAGAGGTTAGATGATAATACGTCTTCCTAGAATGAAATACCATATAAGAACTTATCTAATCTACAATTCACTTCATAGGTTTGCAAATAAAAATGAATAGATGGATGGATTGTCTTTAACGTCTAGGGTTTAAACTGCGTAGCAGTTAGTTCTAGCTTCTACAAAAGCACTATAAACATAGCTAACTGTTTACTATTTTACTTTATATATATAGTAGCTTTAGTAGTTATATTTTTACTTTGTAAACAATTAAGTTGTAACTTTGTATTTACTTCAATTAAAACTTCTATACTTTGTATATTTAGTTCGTTTAAAAAAACATAATATAGTTTATTTGATAATATAATATAATTTAAGCAAACTAATAATACATAAAAAAATAGACTTTTTTATATACTATATTTAATTTATTTATATTTGTAAAACTAAAAAAAATGTTATACTTAAAAGATTAAAAAATAATATTAAGTAACTTTGTTAAATCAAAATTTAAATAATAAAAACAAATCTTATAATATTGTTAAAACAATAAAAAGTAATAAAAACATTTAAAAATACTTAAAAATATTTAAAAGTATAAAACAAAACATATAAAACAAAGTATATAAAACAAAAAATATAAAAAACTAAAAGTAAAAACAGAAAATATATAAACAAAAGCTTTTTTTTAAAAAAAAAAGCAAATAAACAAAAAAAAAACTTTAAGCAAAAAAATATTATAGCAGCATAGTATTAAAAAATAAACAAAAAAACCAAAGTAATAAATTGTAGCAAAAAAAAAAAAAAAAAAAAAAAGTTAAAGTATTAAAACTATATAGCAAGCTTAAAGTAAAAAAAGTAGCAGCTTTTAATAATAAAAAAAACAAAAGCTAAAAAAACTGTTTATTTTTTTAATAGTAAAAAAAATAGCAACTTTTTTATTATAAGTATAAAAATAAAAAATTAGCAATTTTTATAAACAATAATAAAAACAAATATTACTGCTAATTAATTAAAAAAATTTAAAAGTTTTAAAAAATTTTTTTTTTTTTTTTTAATAATAATATATTAAAGTTGTAAATTTTTAAAGCTTTTTTTAAAAATTAAAAAATAAGTTTAAAATTTATAGTTTTAAAGCTAGCTTAAAACTAATAAATATTTATTTTAAACAAGTTTTTTTGTTTAAAACAGTTTTAAACAAGTTTTTCTATTTAAAATAAAGCATATAAAATAGTATATTTATTTAATTTTTTTTTTAAAAGCATTTATAATTAAAAGCTTTAATTTTATTTAAAATTTAACATTTTATTTAAAAAATCAATATAGTTTATATTTTTAATACTATATATTAAGTTATAATATTTTTTATAACAATTGTTTATTTTATTATAAAAAAGTTTAATAATTTGTTTGTTGTTAATACTATTAAACTAGTTTTAGTAATAGTTTAAAGTTTATATACTTTTTTTTAAATAATTAAATTAAAACTTATTTAAACTTAAAAAAAAAAATAGTAAACTAAAAATTTTTATTTTAAAATAAATATTTTAAAATAAATTATATAAAAACTTAGTTGTAATAAATAAAAGTAAAAAAAAGTTTTTATAAATAAAAAAAGTTTTTAATATATAATTAAAAGCAGTTTTTTTCAAAATAAGTTTTTTTAAAATTGCTACTATTTAAAATTTAAATATATATTTATTACTTTATAAATAAAATTAAAGTAACTACTTTTAGTTTTAAATTTTTAAAATTTAAATTTTTTTCAAAAAGTTTTATATAACTTTTATAGTATATTTTTTATATTATAAACAAAAAATATATTTTAATAAAATATTTTATAATTATATAAAACTTTTAAAACTTTTTAAAGTTTTATAGCAGCTATATTAAATAATTGTTATATTTATATAAGTTTTATAAGTTTAGTTTATAAAATCTTATAAATTAGCTGTTTTTTTTTTATTTTTGTTTATTTTGTTTAAACTTAAATTATAGCAGCTTTAATTAATACTATTATTAATGTTATAAGTTTATATAATATACTAAATAGTTATAAGTTTTAAAATAAAAGTTTTATTATTTATTAATTTTTTTATATAAGCAATATTTTTTAGTTTTGTAATAATAAAATTTGTTATAATATTAGTTGTAATTTTTATAATTTATTAAATATTTAAAATATTTATTTAATATATTTTAAAAAAACTAAAAAGTTTTTAAACAATAGCTTAAAATATATTTAGCTTTAATTATTTTATATTTATAAAATTAAATAACTTTTATATTTTTGCTTTTTTTATTTTATATTAGCAAATTGTTATTTTATTAAGCTTTTATTACATTTTTAATAATTTATTTTAATATAAACTTAATATTTAATATTATAAGCTATATAAATTTAAAATCGAGTTTTTTTTTTTTAACTATATTTTTTATAAATATATCTGTTTTTTTATTACTTTATATGTTTATATATTTTAAGCACTATTTAAGCTCGACGTTGTATTTTTTTATTAGCTTATAAACTTAAATAAACATTTTTTATAAAATAATTAAAACGTTTTTTTGAAAAAATTAAATTGTAGTTATATTGTTAATATAAATTGTAATATTATTTGTTAAATATATTTCTACTGCTTTTTAAAAATTTCTAAAAACTTTAGTTTTTTTAATATTAAATATATTTTCAACTAAATTTATACTTTTATATTTTTTAGCTATTTTAGTTAGCTTTTTATAAACAATAAATTTATATTTAAGCTTACTATTTTTAGCTTTAAAGTTATTTAAAAATACAGTTATATTAAAAATTAACAAGTTTTTAAATTATTTTTTAAATTATATAAAAGCAGTTTTTTTGTTTATTTTATTTATAAGTTTTTGTAGTAAATTTAAGCAGTAATATAAAAAGTAAAGTATTAGTTTTTTTATTTTTAAAAATAATTGCTTTGTTAGCTATATATTTAATTTTTGTTTTTATTAACAGCTAACGTTTTTACTTTAGTTAATAATTTTTAAGTTTGCTTTAGTAATTAAAAAATAACTTTTTACTACTATATTAATTTAATATATAAACTTTAGTTTAATTTTGTTTAATATAAATTAAGCTATTAAAAGTTTATTATTTACAAAAAAAGTTATATTAAATTATATTTTTTATATTAGCAGTACTTTTTTAGCTGTTTTAATTAAAGCTTTTTATATAAGCTTAATATATTTATTTAATTAAATATTAATATTAACTAGTTAATTAAAAACTTTGTATATAGTTGGTTTAATTTTTTTTTTATATTATATTTTATATTTATATAGCAGTGCTAAAAATACTACTGTTTTAATAACTTTTTATAAAACAATTACAAAAAAGCTTTTTTTTATAGCTAAAAATGTTTTAATATAATTAAAAATTTTTATTATAATAATAGCTTGTTTTTTTATATATTATTTAAAGCAAAGCTTTTTGTTAAATTAAACTTTAAGCTATTAAAGCGCTAATTAAAACTTATACAATGTTTATTTTATTTAAAAATTGTTTATAGCTGCGTTAAAAAATAAAATAGAAATAATTATTTTTACTATAATAATAATTTTTAAGTTAATATTTTTATACTTTTTTAAAAAATAAATCGTTTTTATTTTTTTTAAAACAAAAAATATTTTGTTTTTACGTTTATAGTTTAAAATTTTTTCGACTTTTTTTTAAGCTAGTTTAATATTTTTTTTTAATATGTTAGCAATTTTTAAAACTGCAATATTATCTATATAGTTTTAACAATTGTTATTGTTATTTATTAATTCTATTATATATAATATATATAATATAAAAAACTAAAAAAACTTTTAAAAAGTTTTATATTTTTATATTTAAGTTTTAATAAAGTTATTTTTTAATTTAGTTTAAATATTTTGTTTTATAAAAAAGCTTTTTATTAATTAAAAAATTATATTTAGCTATTTTTATTTAGTTATATATTTTAATAGTTTGTTTTATAATAAAGCGTTAAATGTTTTTTATATATTTAAAATTATTAAAATTGCTTTTTTTTTAGCTATAATTATTAGTTTTACTTTATAAATAAAACTAGCTACTAAATTTATTGCTAAATAAATAAATAAAACTTTTATATATTATAGTTTAAAAATTTTTTTTATTAAATTTGTTTATATTATATACTGCGTTATTAATTTTTTGTAGCTTTTATTTATATAAAACAGTAAAATAATTAGCTTAAATAATTTAAATAAAAAAAAGTTTATTTTTTTTATTTTAAAAATTATTGCAACTTAAGCTATTTTTTAAGCTATAAAAAAATATTTTATTTAAAAAATCTTTTTGTTTAGCTGTTTATAATATTTGTTTATATAGCTTTAATATACTTTAGTTATACAAGCTATAATATTGTTTTTATTTAAAAAAGTTAAAATAATGCTATATATAAAGCAGTAGATTTTTTTTTATATAATTTTAGTGTTTTAAAAAAAATATTTTATAGTTTCAAAGTTTTTATTTAATAAGTTGTTATTTATATTAAAATGTTTTAAAATGTTATTGTATAATAGTTAAATTTTTTTTAGTTTACTATTTATTTTTTATTTTGTTATTAAATTTTTTAATAAAAATATTTTTTATTATAAATATAATTTATACTATTTAATTAAGCTGTAAAAGTTTTTATTAGTTTTAATTTTATTTATTTTAAACTTTTAGTATTTTTGTTTAACTCGTTTAATTATTGCT